CCGGCCTATTAACATATTTTTAGAAATAAAATTTCATCTCTATTTTCAGTGGGAAGAGTTGGACTCTGATTGTATTGGTGCCTACTATCCCTCTTATTATATTCCAGTTTCATAGTGGTACAAACCTATGAAAATCAGTGTTGTGGCTGGTGATCACTTTAAATGGTGAATATATTAAAGATTTTATTTAGTTACCATATTTAACTGTGAATATCCATGTAATGTTTTTTGTTATATTATGCTTGCTATGTTAGTGAAATTAACTTCTTATGTTTCTTTTCACATTTTTAAGTTAACCTAATATAAAAACTTATATTGTTGGAGTTTGACAAATATTTTTGTTGAACATGATGGCTTTAGCTATTTCTTTGGAAGTGTTTTTTTTTAAATACTTTTATGAAATTGTGTTTTAAAAGCTTCTATATTTATTGGTTACAATATTTTCCAAGGAAGGGTCAGTATATCTGTATTAAAACATGTAACTTTATTGGACCTGTTGGTACTAATTTATAACCCCAACACTCAAGAGGAACACTAGGTTAAGCTCTTTCTTGGCTAAATGGCAAGGATAGGCTGGTATTCATGAGATCTTGGCTCAATCTAAAAGAAAACAAAGCGCAAAACTCCTGACTTTCACAGTCTAGAACCACCACAATTGAGTCTGGTAATGACAAGAAAATCCAGGGAGAGTATACTGGCTTGACTTATGAGCTCAAGTTAAACTGAGCTCCCTTTCGTGTGGTTTAGTGTAGCTCCCATGTTTAGGATCATATGTGGTACTCTGTGCTATGCCTCTTGATGTGGGCAATCCAATTTCATGTTAAATAATATTCCTTCTTTTTTTAAAAGTGAAGTCAAAAATATCACTTTCATAAAGCAAATCTATGTGGAATTTCCTGAATGTCTCAGAAATCAGACTGCGAAAAACCTGGGCTTTTCAGGCTCTGGAGTTTTATCAGTAACGAAGTCAGACATAACATTACAGAATGTCAAGAGTTTCCTGTCTGAAAATGGAACGCTCAGCAGCAATAAAACCCCTCTCTAAACCAAACAACTTCTGTCATCTTAGTCAGCTTTAACGTCTCAAAACATTTAATGATACAATGTAGCCCTTCAAAATTTACTTATTATCCTGCATGCTCATGCTTATGCTGTGGGTGTGCCTGTGGAAGAGAGTGGACAGACAACTTTGTGGAGACAGTTTTCTCCTCCCACCCTTTGTGGAATTCTGGGATGAACTTAAGTCTACTCATGCACCTAATTTACACCTTTGCTGGCTGAGCATCTAATGGCCCTGCTGTGTTTGTCTTGGAATGATGCAGTCATTGAAAGTAAGTTGATAAAGGCAGATGTATTCTAAACTTTCTTAAGTGCTCTTCCCTTTTCCCCAGAGGAGTTAGGACTTAGAGGGTTTACAGGTACTGTCATTCTGTACCAACCGTAATGAAAAATTTAAAGCACTTACTATTTGTGTTTGATGAGTGTCCATTTTTTAATAAAACATTTTGTGAGTCCTGTTGTGGGGTTGCTATAATCTGAGGTATGCCAAGCTTAAATCCACTGCTTGGATAGCTGGCAAATTACAGAGCCACGATTCCATCCCAGTCATATTTCAGAAGCCACAGTAATGTCAGTGATGATTCTCATCTTAATGAATAGTGCTGTAAGGACCAACCTTACCTGAAGGTAGTGTGGCAGGAATATCCTTAGCAGTTTTCATGTAAAACAGCTGAATAAATGTCTTAGTTTTAACTTTCCTCCCAAGCACTCTAGAAATACATGAAGTATAGACATTCCATGTGTTGTGCAATGGAACCTTTGTGTGTGTGTGTGTGTGTGTGTGTGTGTGTGTGTGTGTGTGTGTGTATGTATGTATGTTCATACTCATGTGCATGTATACACACATATGTGGTTATATATATTATAGCATATATATGTATATATATATATGCTAACTTTAGGCCTTTCATGTAAAGTTCTGTAAACTGTCAAAGTTATCATGACTGACTTTTCCCCTAACACTCCCTGATGGCTGTCTTTGCTTTCACTGCTAGGCTTGAACTCAAGACTTTTGCTTACCTAGCATGATACCTGTAACTGAACCACACCTCCACCTCCCTTAATCCCGTGTCTTACTTTAGACTGTTTTAGTCTGCACCATCTGTGAGTAAGTCCTACCCACCTCTGTACTTAAGCATGTGGTAGAATTTTAGAATCTGGGCGCTTAATGATGGGTAGATTCTTTATTGGTGACTTCTTTTCAGTCCTCAGATCGAATGAGGAGACTGCAAAATACCTAAGATTTTTGCAACTTATTTGAGCAAGACGAGGATCCTTACTTGCTGATCATTCTCTGAGCTCTTAAGCTTTCTTCTTCTTCCTCTTTGTGAGTCCTGCCTATAGACCTTTGGGCCTGAAGGACACGTTTCTTCATGTCTGAATGCCAAGCACACTTCTCTGACTTCCTTATAGGCACTTCAGATGTTGCATTCTGATAGTAAATAGTTAGTGCCCTTTTGCTTAAATAATTATATGGCAAACTCTCATTTTATTGGCAAGGCATATGGTAAAGAGAAGTATTATGTTAGTTTGTCTTGATTGGTATTCTCTGTAATTAGAACTGACCAGAGTGGGGTAACTTACTTCAAATCATCACAATGTAACTAATGCTGGAGGATGTAGAATGCTTTGCATTTGCTTTATAACTGTCTAGATTGCCATGAAAAAATAGTTTCTTAAGACTTTTCATATTTTGATCAGCAGGCGAAATTGTAGTATAACAACATCCCATGCTCCCCATCACAAGTCTGAGATCTAAGAGCTTGATAAACATTGTGGTAATAGTATCTGTGCCATGCTAGGCAAGTAGTAACTAGTAAACACTATTCCAAAAAAAAAAAAAAATGAAGAATGGAAATTAAATGTCTCCTTTGTTCTTTGTCATAGATTGCTCATTCCTTAGGGGGTAAAACAAAACAAAACAGAGCCGAAGAAAACCTTAGTAGATTTTCCAAGGGAGTCATAGTGAATATGCTTTGAAATTTGCTAATGTAGGACTGGTAGAGAGGACTGTCTGGTTAGGACCTCTTGGGAAGATATGGCTCTCCCTATTTAGTTAGAAAAGCAAATAGCTTAAGCTATTTTTGTATGGATAATTAGTCTAATTTGAAGTGTGTGTTTGTGTGTGTGTGTGTGTGTGTGTGTGTGTGTGTGTGTGTGTTAAAGACAGACCAGACCTAAAGAAAGCAGAAGATGCTGATAGAAGTTCACAGGTCATGTCTAATTACAGTCTAATAGTTGTTGCTGCCCAGAAGCCTTGTGACTTTTAGTTCTTTTCTGCTTCAACCCCGAAAAATCTTTTCTTCCAATGGAGAAAACCCTGAATTAGGTAATCATCAAAAATGACATACCTGGTGGTGTCTTTTTTGGCCGGAGCAGGCCTAGGTCTGGGTCTTCAGAGAGTCATGAGCTGTTTAGTTAGCCACAGGGACAGCAGACCCATTTTTCAGAGTTGTCTGCTGAACTAAAAATTTCCTTTCCTTTTTGTGTGGTTTTAAAATGTTACAGATTGACGTAGATGAAACTGTGGTTTGCAAATGGTTTAGGCTCTGTGAAAGTCTCCTGAGGAAGTTTTTTTGTAAGAAAACAATTTTATCTATCTTAAGTAACACTTAATTGGTCCGTTACTGTTTTACAGAAAATAGTTTTCATTAATCCATTATAAATACCTTGCCTGCTTTTTCTTTTGTTAATAAAAGTACCTCAGACTGTTCTGTTCCTTGATAGTTTAAGAAATGTCAGTATTAAAGCCTTGAAAATGATGTTGAGTTTATGACTTAAGACAGTAAAGCATGTAAATAGATACTTGTTTAACATAGTTATGGACACCAGCATTTCAAAGGTATAATTAAATAATATTTTGCAGCTTATATTCTTGCTAAGATATCTGTTAATTAAAAGAAAAGCCCAATACAGTGGCTGGTACAAATCTGTAATCTCAGGATTTGGGAGGCTGAGGGAAGCTGAAAGCCATGAATTTGAAGAAGCCGGAGGTAGCTTGGGCTTTGTAGTGACTTTAAGATAAGTCTAGGCTATTGAGTGAGAATATCTTAAGAAATTAACACAAAATAGTATCTGATGGGTTATAGTTTATTTTGTTGTTGATGTTCATGCCAGAAAAATCTTTTTCTGTATTTGTTATTTTGTGTGTGTGCCCGTACATGTGTGTCATATGACATGCTTGTGGAGATCCATGACAGCATTAAGGAATCAGTTGGCTTCTTCTTTCCACCAAGCAGGATTGTATTCAAGTTG